GAGCGTGTTCACACCGGGGTCGCTTTGCCTGCTGCTGGCTCTGCTCTGGCCTGCATCCACGCCTGGCCCCAGGTAAGGGCGCCAGGACCCGGAAGATGTTTGTTTGAGAAAGCTTCCAACCAGCCACGCTGGTCTCTCAATGGCAAGAAATTCCCAGGACCCCTGTCCGAGCTGTGGCAGTGGGGAATAGGTGTTGCACTGACTGTGCCTGCGCAAGAGCAGGCTAATACACCTTGTTCACGGGGGGTAGAGTTTACATGGTAAGGGGAGAAACAGTCTTCAGAAGAACAGCTAGAATAACCGATTTAAACTACTGGAATCATTGCTGAGGAGCAAGGCAGCATTTTAGCTCTGCCTTGGCTTTCCATGGTTAAAGAACTAGGCGAAGGGAGTGAGAAGGCTTAGAACTCAAAGGGCTTTATTCGCCACAGGTATCTCCATTGCCTTCATTGGCCACCAGATTGCATTTGGAAGTAAATTAGAGAGACCAGAGGCTTACTACAGTCAATCTCTTCAGAGGCAGCACATCCCACCCCTCTCTGCAACATTTTTCTCTTGCTGTTAGTGCAGGAATCAAGGCAACAACTCCCCTCACTCACTCCTGTGTGTACACCTCATCAGGGCTGCAAAATTCACCTGCTGCCATGCCTGTGCTTTTTCTGTGAAAGGGAGTTCACATTCCTGGTTGTCCTCCCTGCCTCTGCCCCAAATGCCAGCCCAGAGCCCAGCCAGCTAGAACCCCTCCCTATGGAAAACAGGCACATCTCCTCAGGCTCAGGGAGACCCCCATCTCCCAGGGCTGGCAGGAGTTGCAGCAAAGAGGGGCTGAGACTCAAAAGCCTCCTGGGGATGGGGGGGGGGCGGGGAAGGGACAAACACAAAACTTTCTGAACAGTGACTCCAGATCTAAGTGATTTTATTCATGTTTCTCAAGATATGGTGTGACACAGCACTGGGACAGAGACAGGACCAACAAATACTTCTCCCCTTCTCACACCACCCTCACTGCCAGACTTCTCCACCTGTTAAGCCTTTCCAATGGGTTTATGCCAGCAACATCTAGCAGGATCTTTGCAAGAAATAGCTGGGGAGGAGGATGGAAAAACTTGGTTGTCTGATCCCATGGATAGCATGGCTGCCAGTCACACAGCCATGAAAGAGCTCTGCCTCAGACCTATCCAAGCAACCTCCCAGCCTGGGCTCAAGAATCAGCCCTGCTCCATCTGCTTTTCCATCAGTCCATGAGCCCAGGAGCCTGAAGCTCAATTCTTAAATGCCACTACCAGAACTGCAAGCATTAAAGATGAGTTGAAGCTGGAAGAAACTCTGAGCCTAGACCTATGTCTCTGGTTGGCACCAGGAGAAACTGGGAAGCAGTGGAACCTTCTGCAGAGTCCTGCTGCCTTTAAAACCTGTTTGGGGCCAGCAGTTTCAGGGGAGATCCAGCTCCAAGCCAGGGCACGGCTGGGCTGGCCTCTTCTGCTTTTGAGAGGAACCAGGCTTTTGGCCAAATACCAGTGTGCTTGTCACACATCTAGTTCTCAAGGGCTGATGCTTAATGCCAGCACAATTCAGGCAAGCAGGCATACGTGGGTATTGAGGCCACCATACAGTCTGCATGGAGCTGGGGGAGGCCTTGGCTACACTGACATGTTCGCCTGCCCTGGCTGAAGGGGAGGCCTGGTGTGCCAGGTGAGCATCTGCATAGGTATGGAGGGAGATGGGCAGGATGAACCCACCTGGAGCGGGGCCCTCTCCTTGGGGTTTTCAGCTGCCAGAGAGAACACAAGCCTTGTGCAACTCCTACCCTCTCCCATGCCCCAGGGATATGGGCTCTGGCATGAGGTGCCAGTGGACAGGATTTCTGCCCAAGGAGGAACTGGCACACTTGGGAGATGATCCAGTCATTTTAATGGAGCTACCTGACTCACTCAGAGGCAGCCTTCGTGACTCCCATCCCATGAACACTCCCATAGCTTCTGATGGCACTTAGGTTTGCTCACCCATTGCTGCATGTAGAAGCAGCCCAGAGGAGGGCCACTCCCCTGTGGAAATTAGCTAACAGCATCCTCAGCTTCACACTGAGCCAATACCACCTCATGCCAAGAGGCAGCTAGAGCCACAGCCAAGCTGCACCCCTCCCATGCTCCCAAAACCAGCCAGCACCAAGGTGGGAGAACTAGACACAGGACACAGCTTGACTGACAGGGTACTCCAGCGGGCACAGACTGACACCACGAACACAACACAGACGCCCATCTAACCGTTTGACCGGCTTGTCGTCCAGCAGGTAACTGCCTAGTACTGACCCTTTCTTCAACGGGGGATTTTTGCTCTGAGGCGCCTGGAAGTTGAAAAGAGAAGGGATGAAGAATGCGATTAGGACCCAGGAACCTGACCAGCCCCAGTTCAACCACTTGCCACCTCTGCAGACCGCTTCGGGGAGGCAAGGCTGGAGCCCTTGCTGCCCTGCACCATGCAGTTGTAGTGCCCTGCCAGCAGGCTTAAACAGAGGTGAGCACAGGGCTTGCTTTTCTCAGTTCAGCTTAATTCATGCAAGAAGGCATCAGTGACGCTGCTTTCCCCTTTGCAACAAAATCCATCAAAAATGGTGGTGCCCCAAACTGAACTCTTCCTCTAGCCAGCCAGAGCTTTCATGTCTGTGGCTTGTTCTCCACTTAGTCTCACAGCTGAATCTCTCTTTCCCCACCTGCCTTTTTATTATGCTGATGTTTTGTGGGACAGACCAATTGCCCCTTCCTCAGAAGGCACTGGTACCCCTCCTCCACCAGTACTCACCCAGAGCTGCACATGCACCATAGGAAAGAAAGGAGACTGCTCTGCAAAGGGCAATGCACATGCTCTCCCTTACACAAATGTCCCTCTCCATGCTTTCCTCCTACTTACCTCAGACTACACACTTCCTACAGCCAGTGTTTACCAGCTCCCCAGAGAAGGAGAAAGCAGGACAACTCCTCTCGCAACCTTCTTCCCCCATACAGCAGTTTTGTCATCCCCAACAGAGTCAAAATGAGCAACTTGCCCAAGATCACACAGGAAAAGCTGTGGCAGAGAGAGGCTTGACCTGCCAGCTCCCTCAAATGCCATGCTAAAGCCTAGCCCCCCCCACTTCCAAACAGACTGGCTATCTGCTCTGGCTACACACACAAAACACAGTGAGAGACAGCGTGGCAGGGTGCCCACCGCCTTGGCACTGGGGAAAGGGAGATGTACTCGTTCTGTAAGTCTGGAGATTTCTGACACGTCCTCGTAAGTTATTTCTGGGGGTAAAGGTGGGGAAAGAAGAGTCTGCAGCCTGCCAGATCTGCCTCTGGCAGCAGTTTTGAACTGACCAAACACCTGCAGGCAGCTCTGGACAGGCCTTCCTTCGTGCTGCCCACAGCCCAGGGGAGGACTACAAAGAATATTTCTTCAGTAACCCCTGGCTTATTTTAAAAGGCAAAAAAATAAGAAGCTGCTTTGTTGGCCAGAACTCCCAGGACACCTTTACTGCAATGCAGTCCAACAGAAGGAGACACTGTGGTCTCCACAGAGGACCTCACCCAACTAGGAACTTGGGGGCGGAACAAAACCCAAAACATTTTTTACATGTAAAACTGGCGTTCAAGAGAAGCTCCAGCCTCAGAAACAACCCAGCACTGAGAGGTTCACAAATGTGGAGCACACATCTTCTAAGGCAAAGGACCCCCAAGTGCATAGTGACCCTTTGGTCAACACTGCTATCAGGCTGTGTGTGATTCAGCCAGCCAGTGGTTCTCCAGTGGGGAAGTTCTCAGGGTTTCAGCAGGTTCACTCAAGGGCACTCTCTAGACACACAGAAACAAGGAAATCATGTTACAGCCCACTGGAGCCGAGTTGCAAGTTTTAGGTCACCTATGGAGCAAAGGGAGTCCCAGGCATACTGCTATGGCACCACCCTAGCTGGAGAGGAAGCAGCCTGCGGAGTACGTACCTGGGTAAGAAAGGAGAAACAACGAGGCATGTTTTGCCATTGGTTCTGCCATGCTTTATTGGCCTGCCAGGTTTGTATAACATTTGGCTCTTTAGTGGGATGATAAAGGGACAGATGCGACATCACAGCTGTACAACACACGATGGCAAGGATTCCACAACAACAGCACATGTACAAGCATTTTGCATGGGAAAGATTCCGGTTTATAAGTGAAATACAACTATGCATCCAATGTAGGCAAAGTCCCAAAACACTCTTCATGATAAGCAGACATGAAATTTGCTCTGTCAACATACAGCATGAAAGCATAACTCCATAGCCAGATGGGACATGGGTGTGAAACCAAACCCACAACCCCTGGGTCTTAAAAGCACCCAGCAGTGATTCGCACACAGGCAGAAATAGCCACATGTTGGTATCTGTGACCTAGCCACTGCGGCAAAACAGCGCCTCACAGTGCCGTTGGGCCAGGGTCTGCCCACCCTGGCAAGGACAGAAACTCTTATGAAGAGCAAGGTATTAAGCTGGACACCGAGAAGTGCAAAGGAGTAGTGGCTGGGTTGCTATCAGCCGTGTACAGCCCAACACCTCCTTCCAACCACTTCAAAATCTTTGCTATGAAAGAACCACTGTTCATCACACCTTCATTTCACAGAAATAACACAACTATTCCCAGCACTAACAGAGAGTATTAAGGCCTTGGGTTTCTTTTTAGCCTGTAAAAGCATTGATACACTCTGCCAGAGAGTGCGTCACACACTAGGGATCCTCATCAGAAGGCTGGATTCTCCTTTTTGCTGCTGCAGGGAAGTATTGCTATTTTCTCTCCCCCTTACAGTAGGACAGGCTGGACAGCAGATCTTCTGCAGGTGTATGATGATAGCAGCATCTCTGCAATCCCTTGGAGCCCTGCTTTCCTGTGGACTGAAATGAGAGCAGCCAACAAGATGTCCTGGCTGACAAAGGAAAGAAACTTACTCCAGTACAGGCTTCATCTGCCCAGCATGACACAGGCTTGCCAGATGAGCAATAATGGCAGGAATAGTTCACCCTGCTGCCCCATCCCTACTGCCAGCACAGGGAGAAGGGAGAAGGTGGCTCCTCTGTACTATGACTCTCTCTGCTAGGCTCTCTCTTAGGTCCACCTGCAACTGTCATGTTTCAGAGCAGCCCTGAGCAGGTCCTAGCGGGGGGAAAAGGAGAGAACAGAGGAGAAGCAGACAAGCTTTGCACACACAGAGGCACATACATGAACCGTGGTCTCCACGGGCCACCTGTCCCACCCACAGCAACCCAAAAGCCGACGAAGCACTATGCATGGAAAGAGGACAACAAACCATTTTCTTTGCCTGCTTGCACTGGACTCTCCTAGAGAGTGACTGTGTTTATTACTTCTCCAAGAGGGAGCAGGAAGCTCTAGTGCACACATACTTAGCAGCTTTAAAAATGGAAATAAAGAGAAAAAAAATAATCTTTCAGATTTCAGAAACACACACACAAAGGCACATGCACACACACCTCACCTCCATCCAAACAGTTACTTAAGTTATTTTACACAGCTGCTGCTCCACTTGGAGAACTCCAGCCTCTTCCTCAGCAATGCATCTCATCCCCTACCTGGGCATGATCCCTGTGCTTCCTTCCACGTTCCCTTACACAACACCAGCCAGAAAGTCTCGCAGCCTACCACTGCTTGTCCTCACTGCAAGACAGCTACTTCCAGATGTTCAAGTGGGGATGGTGGCAGAGCAGGCAAAGACACATGGTGGCAGGGATGGGTCCAAGAAGAGCACAGAGCAGCCTTGCCAGTGACATTTGGGAATACAAAGACTTTTTTTTTTTTTAAATAATAAGAATTAAAAATAGATCACATATTCGTACTTATCTTGGAGACTGGGAAAGGCCAGAGATGTCAAAGAGGTCCCCTGCTTTCTCCTAGCCCTATGATACAAGGCTCACTGCTGCACTTCCACCCCAGCAGAGTTCACAGGAATGGGGAGCTGCCCCAGAAGACCATCTGAAAACATCTGCTACGAACTCAAGGGGTCAGAGAAACTCCAAAACCCTACCAGGCCCCTCCACCCCCAGTCAGCCAGCACATATCGGAATCCATCTTCTTCCTCACTACCCAGCTCCAGGGATGCATCCAGCTTCACTCTCCTCCTTGCGTGTGCCCAGTGCCTGTCACAATGCACAGACCCCATGTGTGCAGCAGACAGCACCCACTGCAGCCCTGCATGGGGCTGCATGACAGTCACAAGCTAACGTGCCTTGGGTTAAACCCAGGCAGTTGGCAACAGCAACCAGCAGACCTCATCTCTAGCACAAGCAGAGAGGTGAGAGGTGCTGTGAAGTCTGTATTAAGCACCACACCACGCCTGGTGAGCTCAGGTCATTGTCCCCCGTGGAAGTGACAGGCCCCCGAGCGGTGACAGCAACAGCAGCAGATGAAAGGAGGGTTGTTGGGAATTAGGATTTTCTTTCTTAGACTAACCAGCTTCTTGGCTTCAAAAGCGTCTCGCTCATCTCGAAGTTTCTTGTTCATCTCTCTGCTCCAAAGGAAAGCCACAGGAGAGACACAATGAAGCATTCATCAAAAATGGAGTAAGACCAACATTTGAAAGCTAGGACAGAAAGGGAGCTTGGGACACAGATAAAGATGTTATTTATTGCCAGACATGCTGGGATTTCCATGTATCCCAGCTCAAGTAACAGGCTCCACATGGTCCCCTTAGCCGGCAGGAAAGACTAAATCCCTCCAGTGGAGGGATTACTTGGTGAAATAACACAGCCTGTACTCTCCCAGAGCTGGCCAGATTGCACAACTCTGTCTGGACCTAGAAAAACAAGCAGTGTCTGAGCACTGCTTGAATACACTCCCATAGCTTTCTGTGGGAGAAACGAGCACAGTGCTGAAACCTCATCCCCTTATGTGTACAACAGCTCATCATCTCCCCCCAGCCCTGTTCTTACCTGAGGAGCTCCAGCTGCCGAAGGAGGCTTTGTTTCTCTTTCTGCATGTTCTTGGAGACTCTAAACACATCCCTGGGTGAATGGGATTTTAAAAAGGGAAATAAGTTAATGGGAGAGGAAATACAAAGATCCCTTTCTCAGGGACACTCATAGTATTCTCAAAGATAAGGGGCTGCCCTATGCTAGGAGGATTCAGAGGAAGCAGGACTGCTGCAGGAGCTGGGATGGCTGGGTTGTACCCCAGCTCTCCTGCTCTCCTCCAACGTGAGGGCAGGCAACCCATTTTCTCCTTTCGCACTCCAGTTTCCTCAGCTGCTAGAGATGGGAAGGATGCTCACTGCCATCTAGATCTGAAACACCTCAATGTTTCAGCGAAATATTATTAGATTAAGCCCAGAAACAGGAACACAAGTGATTAGAAGAGGATCTGTAAGACCTTTATAAAGGAGATGGGGAACTGGAAAATACATGAAGAAGCCTCCTTTAGGCTGATGAACATCTGTATTTTTTAGAGCTTTTATAGCCAAATATCAATGAACATATTCCTTTCCCACTAAAGGCAGGTGGGAGGTAGCGGTATCACTCCCTGTTTAGGCCCATAAGACCACTGGGATGTTACTTCTTTTCCTCAAGAAGAGACAGGCAATCCTCTGATGAGACCAAGGCTTCTGATCAGAGATCCTTATTTTTTAACTACTTGCCCACCTTTCCTCCTGTGCCTGGGTCCCTGCCCTGACACACCCCCTTCCCTGCCCATTCCCACCTGTCCTTCTGTTCTTGTTCAAGCTGGGCCTCTTTCTGGAGCTTCTGTAATTGCCCCTTCACCGCCTCCAGCTCCCATTTGCTTTTCTCCAGCTCTTCCAGCAGGTTTTCATTCAAGTGCCGGAGCCTTTCATTCTGCACGCGGGTCTCCAGCTGCTCTGAGTTCAGAGACTGTAGCTGATGCTCCAGCTGCAGTGGGCAAGGAGGAGGAGGGGTTAAATACACAGAGGAAGGGTTTTATGCTACAATCATGCCTGTAAAAACAGGCTGAAAAAGCACATGTAAAAAACAAGGTGGAAGGGAGGTAAGCACAACTTAGGTCTACAGGACCGCCAGTGGCATCGAGAAGGTGAATTGGAAGCAATTCTTTCTCATCATGGCAGCACTGGGGAGCAAGCAATGCAATTAGTCAGACATAGCTGAGGAAGTGCTTCAGGCAGCGTGAGGAGCTTGCTGCTATCAGGCACTGTAGAAATCAGAGTTCAAATGAGGGACAAAGGAGGACTGGAAAAATTTGGGCGGAAGCAGTGTTGGGTCTGTCAGGACTTATTAAGCACAATCATTGAAATGCATCCTCTAGTTTGGGGGCTTCCTGAGCTCATGGCAGCTGAAAGGGTGATATATTGAGGTGCTAGGGGTATCTCACACTACACCTAGAAAGTCAAGTGATTGGGTGGCCTCTGCTACTGTTGGAGACAGGACCTCGGGCTAGATATGTTGTTTAAATGCCACTGGGGCACAGTTACAAGACCCCAGCACAACTAACAAGCCTGACCTGGGAAGTTCAAAGACTGCTGTCATGTACTCAACCAGTGATGTGATTCCCCACAAATTGCTGGTGTAGTCTGGGCAAGAGTCAAAGACGGATATAGTAGTCAAACCCGCCCATCTCGGATGACAAGTAGGGTATCTCAAGAAGGATCATACCGACACTTCAGTATCTAGCCAGCCATACCAGCTAACCCTGTGCTGAAATTGGTGCTATGCAGAAATTGTGGTAACCATCGGAGAACTTACAGCCCCAAAATAAAATTACACAACTCATGCTTGCAACCAGAGGGGAGCACTGGGAACCAGTTCTGACCAATGTAGTAGGTGGCAGAGTCAGCCTCCACAGGATTCAAGGCTAGGTGGTTGTGTTATAGACAGCAGCACAAGCAGAATACAGAACAGGAAATCACATTTCCTAAAACTTCCCAAAAGTTTTGAGCACAGAGATAAGGTTAGCCCTTTAAATACCACATGTGACAACTTCTTGCCACATCGACAGAAAGTTAGGCAAGGACACGGAGAGATGTGATCTCACCACAGAGCAGGGACCCTTGTGGAAACTCTCCTCCTGCCTCGCCCACTGCAGCTGGAACATCCGCTACAGTCTCAGCTGCCTTTTCCGCACCTTCACATAGACTCTCAAAGGGAAACTAAAGCAGCACACTGTGGCACAAGATAAAGTGCTTTTTTTCTTGCTACTCTGCTATCAGCACATGCATACAACAGCCATGGACAGGAGTGAACAGAGCTGACCTTTCCTAGGTTCCTTGAAACACAAGCCCCACATCTCTCCCTGCTGAGGCTACAAGCGCAAGTCACACCCTGTGTTGCCTGGAGCCTTCCAGTCCTTTGGACATCAGGGAAAATTTGAGCATGACCACATATGCTGAGCAGTGGAGTTGAGACTAAGAAACAGGAACTGCTGCCCACAGCCACTGGATCTTTCAATAAGCCAGGGGACAGGCTTTAAGTAAAGCACCTGCCCCTCCCTAAGAAGTCTCTATCACACACAACTCTCCCATTCACGTTGTCTGTACTTGGAAGCGATACCATAGAATAGCATGATCACAATACTGGTCTTAGGCCACAAGAGGGACCTGATTATCCACATAGCTTAGTACAAGACTCAGAGTTAAGAGCATCAGAAATGACCATTCGAGTAAGAATAAGTGTCCATGTAGCCCAGTACTCTGCCTTGACCCACAGCAAGAGGAGATGCTACCTAGGAAGAGCATGCCTGGACACCTAAATATGGTCCATTCCCCTCATACACCCCCAGCATCTATGGTCCCTGGACTAGGGATGTTAGAGGCCACATCCCTGACTATTCCTCCTTTTAATAAACATTTACGAACCTGTTGTCCATTTATTTGTCCAATCTGTTTTTGAACTGCTGATACAGCCTGCCTCCTGTGGCAAAAAATCCAGGACTAATCTCTATGTAAAGAAGTATGTTCTTCTAAATCAAATTCATACTGGCCTCACTGAGTGTCACTCACCTCTGCTGTTGCAGCATTTAGGGAATAACAGTTCTACATGGACCTTATCTGCCACCTTCCTGTGTCCATAAAGCTCACTTATATCTTCCCCAGTCTCCTCCTCTCCAAAATCAAGTCTAAGCTTTCCTAGTTTCTCTTCCTAAGGCAGATGCTGCATTTCCTTAATCATATTAGTTCTCTGTACCTTCATACTCAAGAAGGGGACAGTGGAGTTAGAGGAGGCCAGAACTGCACACACCAGTTGAGGCACATCAAGGGTGTGGGCAGCAAGAAAATTACGTCCTCTATCTTATTCTCAATATCCTTCCTGATAGCACCTAAGTTTTGCTTGCTTTGCCAGCTGCTGCACAATGAGCTGATGATTTCAGAGAAGTACTGTTTCATCCACATCACAGCTAGGTGTCCAACCTGGATACCCCCAGTCACCAGCATCTTACAGGTACCTCCCATGACTTGTTTCTGTAGGGGTCATGTCTCAGTTCTTCAGACAAAAAGGAAAAAAAGACATTCAGAATGGACCATCCCAAACAAATGCCCATGCCAGGGACGGCAGGCTAAAGGAAAGTTTCTCCTTTGATCTTTTCTGTGACTGATTAATCAGTACGTCATTAGGTGCTGAAATGCAAATATACAGTACATACAGCTCTAAGCGTCACAGAACTGTTCACTCTGGGTTATTTTGGAGCAGCCAGAAAACATAAACTAGAGAAATTTGGCTCTTGTATGTACAAACACAGCTTTCTTACACACCACAAAAGGCTCCAAACTCACAACTTCCAAATTTTTACCCCCTCTTCCTTGCCAAATAGTTATTGTATAACTGATAGGAAGACTGTGCCAAGAGAAAACAAAGCACAGAAGAAAATGCATGGACAAAACATTCACAGGAAGACATTACAGTTGAAGACAAACCAATCACTTGACAAACCACTTCAACACCCTCAGAGACAGGAGAGAACTAGACTACCTAGTACCAGATTAGCTAGTATCAACCCTCAGCAGATGAAAACCATTCTCTGTCAGAAAAGACCTTAGCAGAAAGACAGTAGAAGGAGACATGCTTCTTTAGAAAGGATTTGGATCCTGTTACCTTCTTCTGGCGGTAGAGGATTTTCTCTAGCTCCTGCTCTTTGCTGCACAGTTCCTTCTGGAGGAGGTTACTCCTGTCATGTCTCAGTGCTTCCTGCAGAGGTAAAGATACACAGCTGTGCATACAACACCCAGCACAGTAAGAGCTGTTCCTTGGCCAGATGAGTGAACACCTCTGCTTCAGACCAGAGAATGTTTGACTTCAGCCAAGAGAGATGAGGTACCTGGCAGATCAACTTCTCCCTTTCTGCTTTGATCTGTTGCTCCATTTCTTCATAAAGGCACCTGACTTCTCGGTCATGGTCTGTCTCCTTCCTACAAAAGGCACAGGGTGCACAAAGGTCAGGAAAGAGAAAGAGAATACAGAAAGAAAACAGGAGAAGAGGGTGGAAACAGATTCCCACTAGCAACTGTGTGGCACTGAGTGGGATTTTAACCAGACCAAATGTTATGGGTGGGCACTGATGCAAAACAAACCCATGGGGATCAGATCAAGATAAAGAGTAATTTTATTAGAGCAAGAAAAATCGCTGCATCCTGTAACCCAGTCTCTCCTTGCATTTGAGGCAGCATCCAAGCATCAGCTGGTTCCTGACAGCAATCAACCATGATGTTCTCCTTACCGCTTCAATGCCTGTTCCATAGACTCCTTCTCATGATTCACCTCCCTTATGTATGATGAAACACGCAACAGAAACTCTTCAAAATTGGATAAGAGCTCTGGACGCTCCTTCCGTAGCCGAGCCCAGAGCTCCCGAATCTCATGTGGACTGGAGCAAGCGTACAAGAGAGAAAGAAAGCAAATGAGTTTCTGTGTCATCTTATGGACTGTTATTCCAACTCCAACATGCACTCGGGACAGACAAACTGCCCTTCTCCTGTGATGACCTCCATTACACCATCATAGCAACGAGAGAAGTTGGACAGTAATGGAGCATGCATATGGAGTGAGATCTACTGCAAGGTTAAAATAAAGGAAGTCATCTGAAAGAGGAAAAGTCATTTAGGAAGCAAACCTGGAATTATTATTTTTCACGCATTCAGCAATAACATATTTGGTGTCTAAACCAAGACTTGAAGAGATGAACATTCAGCAAATTTGCTGTGAGCTACGGTCAAGCAGCAAACTGTAATAGCACCAGGGATTTTAGCACACATCACATAGGTGTTGTTCTCACACCAAGACTGTACTGGTGGATGCTACTGTCCTTGTTATTTATTTATTTTACAAGTTTGGAAACTGAAGCACAAACAAAAGAAGCAAGTTTGCCCAGGCGTCACATCAGGATAATAATGGACGAAGCCCTGGTAACCCAAAGTCGTCTTTTTCTGAACCTGCAATAATGATTACACTGTTTTGGCATTTAATCCATCAGAACTTGAACACAGCACTTACAAGCTCCCTCTTTCCCAAAGAGTCTTAGAAGCCTGCAGACATCACTTCATGCTTCTTTTTGGGGAAGAGCTTTTTTTTTTTTTTCCCCCCAAATCCATGAAGTACTTTGGAGGAACTACATAGATATTTTTCTTTGTCTATGTGTTTGTCTCCCTTAATATTCTTTGGGAAAAAAAAAAACAAACAAAAAAACCAACCAAAAAGCTCTTGATTCCCCCTGCCACCACTGCATGATAGCCTCCTTCTTCTGTCCTAAGTTGGAAAAGTTACTAGCACTTGATCAACACTTTGTGTTTTAGATAACAGAACATATTGAGTCCCATTAATAAAAAAAGCCATTTCTTTCTAGCAAAAATAGTGAAGATAGTTCAGATTCCTGCTCTGACCCCTATTAGCTTATGTTTTATATTACTTCTTTACAACAGCTGGCTTGACAAAAAAGTGTAACATGACTGAACTCATTGCATAAAACTGCAAGTAGGCGGTCAAAATAAAACACGGGATAATTCCATGTTAAGACCTGATGCTTCTCAAAGCAGAGTTATAAACAGCAGAGGCTATTTTTCCAGAGCAGTAATATGGCCTTTCACAGTGTCATTCCATTATTTGAGGCATAACACCTTTCCAGAATTTTTCAGGACAGGAGAGGTTGTTTAGCATTAGAAGAAACATGCACGTGCTTCGCATTGCAATGCAAATTATTAAAAAAAAAAAAAAAATCTGTTTCATGAGAGATGCAGCTCTGAAAGCAGCAAACTCCTTCACTCTCAGCTTCTGTCTCCAATCCTGTCTGTCTCCTGCCCCTACCTGGGCTGCTCCCTGCAAATTGGCAGCTCTGTTGGACCACAGTGCCTGAAAAAAAGGGCTGCCACAGATGCTGTTGGGCACCCCAGCCCGAGCAGATGTGCATCAGTAAGAAACAGTTATGCATAATGTTTCACTTGGGAAGGCCCTAAAAAAAGGCTGGATGACACTGGGGCCACATGCAAGGGCATTAATATCAAGTTTCAAGGCTCAGGTGAGCATCCCTTGCCCAGTTTAGCCTTTCGCACTCTTCAAGATCAGCCCAGTCCCAAGCCCCTTGAGCGCAGATCTTTCACAGACACTCTTAGAACTACAATTGTCTGAACATATGTGAACAGTCACCCACCATTTTGGAACAGACAGCACATTCATCCTCTTACCTTGTCTAACCCTCACATGCTTCTTTTCATTTGCTGTGTGCGGATGGGCTTCCACGCCACCAACTGCTACATTTTACAGCTGTGGTATGAACTCCAGGGTGGGAAACTTTGTGAAAAACACTGCACTAAAAGTAATTCTAAACTGATGAGAAAACCCAGACTTCACTGCATTTGTTACCAAGTGCATGAAAACCCAAGACAGCAGTACAGAAAGCCCAAGCAGTGCTTCAGAGAGCAAGCAGCTCAGTTCACCTCTGTGGTCTTTGCTGGTACTTTGAGGTTTTGGTATTGCAAGATCAAAACAGAGTAGAAGTAATGCCATGCGACTCCCCTACTTACTCTTCAAACATGTGGGCGGCTCCAAGCTGCTCCATCATGGAACAGAATCGTTTGTCTTCATCATCATCCGCTGTGTCCAAGTCATCTGACCAGCCTGACTCAAAGGTCTCCTCGTGCCTAGAGTGATCCATTCTCCCAGCCCCTTGACACAATTCAATCCCTATTAACTTTCCTGGTGGAAGGAGAAGGGAAGAAGGAGAACAAAGAAAGTCAAATTGGATTTCACTTAATAAGCTGCTATTTAAATTGCAGCCCAACAGAGCTCCATGAGAAGCTGCCTGCACACTGCTGGTGTAGAACACAGCTCCTGGTCAGTAAAGAGCCTCAGTTCTGACGTCCTGAGTGATGTCAGTGTCCAGTCTGCAATGCTGGGACTGAAACTGGCTCCCAGCCCAACAACAGGCTGTTAGGGCTCTGCTCACATCTGCGTGAAGATGATCTACCACCCACGGCCTCAGATTCTCAGCACGTGAAGCATGCGGCATTAGGTCACTTCACTCCCATGAGTTCAGTTGCCGATGATCCCACAAGCTCCCTCTGGGACTGCAAGCCCAGCACTGAACAGCACCATGCCTCAGTTCCCCATCTTAAAAAAACAGCAAAGAGGAGATCATTACACTTCCCCTCTCATGTGCTATATCTGTTTTGATTCAAGTACTATGGAACAAGGACTGCCTCTTGCTAGGATTGTGTAGGGTGTCTAAACAAAATGAACTCGCCCTCTGAACACCTTCTCCTGCCCCATCCCACGTATGGATGGCTTCCAGCTATCTGGATCCTGTTTCATGCTGAGACACTAATGCCATGAGAACTTCATGCTATGCAAGGCATGTGACAAATACTAGCACTGGGAACAAATTCTTCTCAAAGAAACAAATCAAGCAATCCTATTCAAAATGCAGGCCCCCATCCTGTATAGAGAGGTCAGACCTCCATTAGCAGCTACTCTTCCTTTCCAAAATATATCTGCTAGGTTCAAAAGGCAGAAATGACCTCCCAGCTACAGGGCCAGGAGCCAAGGAGATAAGCACAGATGAGAACATGAAGCTGCTCTAAGGGGAAAAATATCCACTATTTGTGTGCCTCAAGTCACTTAACTTGACCACTTCTTAGCTCCCTATGTCCAGAACCTGCTTCTCTCCTGCTCTTAAAATGTGCTGTAAAAAACCCTTGCAGTGTGAAGATACAGGCCCTACTCAGCTTAAAACCTGAGGCTTGGACAGTTAATTAAGGAGATGGGCTTAGACTAGGCACTTTGGATGTCTGCTTTAAAGAAAGAGTCATTATCTCTCATTGTCTCTCTTTTACAGCTGGGAAAATTGAGGTAGAGAATGATCTGAAGATAGTTTTGACATCCTAGAAGGATCTCAGATTGCTTTAAATTGAGCATTTTAAATGTATGCTCTTTTGTCAGTTGTGCAGATGCGCCCTGTAACCTCTCAGAGGCCATGCAAGGTGCCCTCTCAAGAAGCAGAGTTGATTGCAGCTTGAACTGCTTCCCTTGATTTCCCCCCTGCACACTCCAGAAGGAAAACAGCATATGCCAGGCCAAACTTGAGTTAGGGGCAAAGTCTGAAAAGGATTTCAATGAAGCCAGACACAAAGAACAACCACAAAGAGAAGAAATGCAGAAATGAAGTGCTTTGCCTAGACTGGAGCAAGTCCCACAGATCCAGGCTACCAACACAGGGTGGTATGTGACAACTGGTGGCTGACACAAAGAGAAATCTTGCCCACCTCTGCCAGCAATGGCACTGAGGCAGGTATCCTCATGATGTCCATCTATGACTATGGCTGGGACAAATGCCTCAAACAATGAGATTTGGGAATAACCAAGTCATAACACAGAAGGCACTGTGGATGCCAAAGTGCCCAAATGGCACCTGTTCAGCTTCTACACAGCACTGGGCAGGAAAGCCCATGCTCCTGAGATAACTCTTGTTTCCGGCAAAGGCAGCAGAACCAGCCAACAAGGCTTCACCCCTGCAGGCAGGGACACAAGGCAGGAACAGGCATAGTCAGCAGGCACTCAGTGGGTTAACACATTCCCAGAACAGGCTGGCCCAAGACACAGCTTTCCGTGTTTATTCTGAGGAAATCTCTACAGCTTCTCTTCTCAGGGCTGGCTGTTTCTGGTCATTCAAACTGAAGCACCAAAAAGACCCCCCTCTCTCCAAGTTGTGAGAAAGCCTTGAGCAACCACAGTCTGAATAATGAGGACACTGCAACTCAAGAGCCTCCTCAATCACTTTGGAAAAGCCTAGACCACCTGTGTTCACTTGCTTTGACCTGATCCCACTAACAGATCTACATGTCCAAGGAAGGTGCTAACAGGGTGCAGATTTTCTGAGAGCTTAAAACTAGCTAGGGCAAGCAAGCACCTATGGCAAAGGTTATTAGTGCTATGGTCATTCCTCCTCCTTAACACCTCTTGCGCTGCTTGTGCTACTGGATGACGACTCTGGTATAGGATTAGCATTCTCCTAGTCTTTGGAAAAGGCAACAGCAAGAGGAAAACAAAAGCTCATTTGCCAGCGTGCTAGCCCACTAACAAGACTCCTACTAATATCCTTGAACAGCACTGCATAAACCAGCTAGAGACAGTTGCCAAGAGGCATATTTCTGTCCCCTTGTCCAATGAGGGTCCTTATCCAGATGAACCACTGTGGATCACATGGCCAGATACAGGCTGCAGTATGTGCCATCTCCAGCAGGATATGTTCAGAAGCTGGCTCTACCAGGCAGGCAGGTAACAGTTATGGAAGAAAGCAACACAGATGCAGGAAGGGAGACAGCAGTATTGCACACACACCTTCTACAATGATGTTCACATAAGCATGGGCCATTGCCCTGCATAGCTGGTACAGCTTCAGCAGAACCACTGCGCTTTCCTTCTTACCAACATAAAACATCATGTCACAGGTGGGCTTTTTCCTTCCTCTGCCTCTGTGCAGTCCTTACCTAGTCCCATGCTGAACTCCACAGGCGTCAGGTATCCATTATTGTTCTGTTCCAAGCTATCAAAAACGGTATCCAGCTGTTCAAGGGTTAAGGGGAGTTCACTCTGGAGCCGCTGCAGAGAAAAAAGAATAAGCAAAATTAAGACATGACTCAAGTCTTCCCTGTGACTAGCTCCTGTCCCTGCTGTCCTCAGCTTTGGCTCATAGTGATGTGCCCTTTCAGCACTGCATCCTGGCTGGGATGCGACAGCCTGCTAGTACAGCTGAGCAATGACACAAATGCCTGTTTGGACCCACTGGTACAGCAACGTTTTCCATTACTGGATGATTCAACCAGGATTGCAGAGAAGGAGCTTTGGGTTATTTTATTTGGAGGGAGCTCAACCCTCTTCCTCACCCACTTCAGAACCACTGCCTCTAGTTCACTGCCTGCCTCCCTCCACCCCTGCCCAAGCCCTGCCAAAGGTGGCTGCCTGCAGGGGCACTGCCAGCCTCCCGTGGCCCCTGCTGCTCCCAAGAAAGCTCTCTATGGACCCATCAGATACCAACTCCATCTCTTTGGCCAGAGGGGGAGGACAGACTTGTCGATGTCTGGATTCAGTTCCCAGCTCTTGCAAGAAGTCTTGCAGATCATAAACAAAATGTTCAGTCCATAACAGAGAGTTAGCTTTCTTCTGTCATCTTCTGCCTGTTGGGACTGTATTCACTATTCCCACAGCACAGACAAGGAGCAGAGATATTTCCCTTCATAATGTATGTGTAGAGCACCTAATGTGAAGGGACACTCAAAGAAGCTTACAGATAACGAGGTGTAGACTAAAACTTCATTACTGTCCATTAAACATGCAGCTTCAGATAAAAGCTTAATAAATATTTATTAATGTAACTGCACAAAATTAGGCATCACACAACCCAAACCAAAGTGAGTCAATAATTAAAGGAGCATGGACTTGCCAAGTGTAATTATAGATGGAGGGAGAGATGAGACAGAAGAAAAAGAATGCGTGTGTAACCTTCCTGATAAACGATTAAAACAAAACTCACAAGGAACTGTAGAGATTCTGCAACAAATACTGTTTTTAACAGAAACCAGCAAAACACATTATTCTAAAGCAAAGTTATAGTTCAGGCCTAAAGTGAGTTTTTGAGGTCAGGCTTTAGCTATGATTGAGACAAAAAAGTAATATAGCTTTTTTTGTTAAGAGGTTGGTGGATTTTGTTGTTGTTCACTGTGGTTTGGGGCGGGGGGGGGTGTAATTTTGTTTTGTTTTTTTTTAAATTAAACCAAAGATTTTTTCCCCCCAGATTTCCCATCCACTGCCTGCTAACATTTGTAGGAACTGTTGCAAGTTTTTTTGATTTTATGCATTCCTTAAGAATTTGGAATTGCAGTCCCACTTGTCCCAGGAATTCCCTGGAGGTCCAAGGCCCTCCTGGGATTTTTGGTTCCTAGCAGCTGGCTGTGGCAGAGTTTGGCTCCCAGAAATCTGAATTAGACTGAGCCCACGTGCACACCCATGCCTGCCAAAAGTAAAGACATGCCACATTCTTCCCTCTTCTGCCACCCATGACTTTACAGTCAGGAAAGGAAAAAGGAATCTTTCTCCCTCACCTGCATGTCCACCTTGGTGATAAAACCCTTCTTGTCCTTGTCACACAGCTGGAAGAGCTCCCTTGCCTTCTCGAGCATCTCCACCTGCACATCTTCCAATTCACTCATTTGGCTGGAAGGAGAAGCACCAGGAGCCACTCCATCCTCCTCATCCCCTTCCTCTTCTCCTTCCCAGTGGACATATCCCAAGAGCGCTTCCCTCTGGTTCTCCATCTTCTCAAAGTCTTTTCCCCCAGGGCAAGAGCAAACAGAAGAGCTGTGGGGCAGGAAACAGAGAAACCCCAGTCAAACATGACCCTCCACTTCCATCCCAAACATCATCTAGTTATACGCCTTGTTGGTTTCAAAGAACAATATTCAGCATCCATATCTGTTACCGAGGGGAGGCGGGGAAGACAGACAGTGTGCAGAGAGTTTGTGTCAGAGGTACACACCCTACACAACATGGGCGTAACCAAGCCTACCACACGGCCGTAACCCTCCACACTGTGATGGGCTCCAGACCCTGCACCAAGCAACGATGCTCTTTTGCCATCTCTCCTCCTCTGGCTCAGACCTGCAGGGCAGTCAGAGTTCTCTGCTGGTGAAAGCCAGGTGCCAAGGGAAGGTTTCAGTGAAGATAAAAGGATAGCAAGGGAATATTAAAGCATGCAGGTAAATCTGCATGGGAACACAGTGATAGCCCCACATTAGCTGAGTCAGGGGGCTCAAACACCACAAGCAGGGCCAGCTCCCAGCTCTTGCACACCTCCCTGGATGCCCTGACCAGGGTGCTTCTCTCTGGTCTTAGTTCTTTCATTTGCTTTTCCTCATCCTGTTCCTTTTCTGCACCACCTTTGAACACCAAACCTGCATCACAACTGCAAGAACCCAGAACAGGAAGAAGGCAGAGAGGAGGAAGATCTGTGCAAGTGACAGAGGAAAGAGAAGAAGGAATGTCTCTCCCAGGCCTCTGCCACCCAGATCCCCTGGCTAGCCTTCCACCTCTGACATTTTCTTGTTAACACTTCCCAAATAGTAACTCTATCTCCTTTCATGTTATTACAGCACAAAGAAAGGTCAGACAATTCCTACACTGGAAAAAATGTAATAAGCTGGGCACTCCTGCCCTCCTTGCCTCCCAGTCTCTGTTTTGAGAGTTCGTAAGCTGCCAAACAGCATTTTAATCTGAAATGTTCATCTTTATAGGAAGGAAACCACATGACTATGGAGACATTTCAGAGGCCAAAGAAAATAATTTCCATTACTTACAAGTACCTAAAACAAAAAGGCTAGGAATGAGAGCACCCCTTTAAGCACAGCACTGTGATTGTAAAGATGTGTACATCACATTCCTACCCCAACCCACCTTCCGACTTACTGATGCTATGTAACATTATCCAGCTTTTCTTCAGCAACACTACATTTTTTAAGCCATCGCACTGATTGCTTTAGACTTCTTCTTCTGCAGATTTGTATTCTGCGTTGCAAGGCAGAAGTGAGCTGTGCAAGCAGGCTGAGAGCAGATTTAAACAGTACTAGACAAAGAGGGCTTGAGGGTTGGGTTTTTTTTTTAATCTCCAAGAAATTAAAAGCCACGTACAGATGCTGTGATAACAAACAAGTTAATTCTGTTTGCACTCAGTACAATGGGAGGATAAAGAGCATGATGGCCAAGAAGAATGTCACATGCAAGAACTATATGAAGGTGACACAAAAGGAGAAGGCAATTATGCACCATGCTATTTGACTCCGTTTATTACTGCTGGTTCATGAGCCAGAGGGTTGTTCTGCTTCAAAGAACAAGCAGAACGCTTTACTCCCCCTTTCAAATCAGTGTTTTTTCAGGGCACCTCCACTTAGCATCACTTGAGAAGATACTTATTTGAAACTCTGCAGAAACCTACTGCTAAATGGGTACTATTATATGTTTCTAGTCAAGTAGACATCCCTGGCAAGCAATGGACACAGAGCTGGCCACAAGCTTTGGGGAATACTGCAGAGGAAAGGAGGGAAGAAAGCATGAAAAGTGAGAAGGCAGGGGGCGTCTTTCTCTCTTGCTCTTTTTCAAACAAACCCTCCTACCAAGCGGGGTTTTTTTTTTTTGTGTTATGGAGGCAACAAAGCAAAATTTGGAAACCAAAGCTTGATTCTATCGATTAGCTGGACAGCCAGCTTGCTTCTGATGGCAAGTCTGTATGTGTTAGTATTAAAGAGGTCAGAAAGAACCCCAGCTTACTTTTCACATTCAAGCAAAAGTTGCAAAGCTGGCCTTAGGGGTGGAAAAAAAAAAAAAAAGACTCAAATATCTTATGCTGCATAGATTTTACAGGTGATTACAGTGAGGCATCACATAGCCACACCAATGAATGATAATTATTGGCTGCTACAAGCCACCTTGCTTTTTGCCAGACCCTTTCCTTCCACAAAGATACAGTCTCAGCACAAGCAGCACCCTGTACCGAGACGGTGAGTGCAGGTGGCAGCAGGGGAAGAAATGAAATGGAAGTTCAAACCAAGAGCCACAACAGGATTGTGGAAAATAGCCAGAAGTAAGAAAAAGTGCAAATAAGAAATATATTTTCTGAATCATCCCTCTAGCTGCCTAAGAGATACTGAGGTCCCCAGAAGATCTTACTTTCTTGTTAGTAGCTTCATTGTTTCAAAAGCCAGAGCAGCCCACACAATGTCTACCCAGCTCTGCTGCAGCAAACAAAAGGTTATACAAGGAGGATGTTCTGTTCTCCCTCAGAGACATATTTGCAAGCTGAAATCGGGCCTATTACATCACTACCTCTAGCATCTCCTCATTTTATCAAAAGCCTAGCTGTACTGTAGCTCCCAAACAGTGGCTGAGCTAAAAGCCTCTTAATTAGAAGAGCGGGGAGCCTGACATGGACAAGAATCTGAAAGGATTTCACTCACATGTAAAAGACCAAGCCCATTAATTCAATGTTTGGAGTGCAGAGTCTCTTGTTCAAGCTGCTTCAAGTAACTTCAAGCCAGATGTGGCTCCGTCAATGGCGAGAAAGCACTTGTAGAGGAACAAAGCAGCAAATAAGAGAGCCCCAGTAAGCAAAATACACTGTGTCTCTGATGGACTTCTCTCCCAAAGGCCTTTGAGAAGCTCTTCTCCATCCCTGTTTGTAAAAGCATTGCATGGTATAAATGCAGATGAGGCACAAAGCAGATCTCAGTCTAACAAGTGCTGTCATGCCTTCCCCAGTTAGAGATCATCACTGGGGAAGCAGCTTCATCAGCAATAGGCAGAACATCACTGAAGGACAACTTCAGGAAAGAGGCTGAGGTCACTACAGTACTGAAACTGGGGACTAGTACCCAAAAATGAGGCCAGCAGAGCTGGCTTGGGTGCACAAAAATCAGCTTGGGAAGAGCCATGCTTGCCTGACACAAGTGGAGAAGACAGAGAAGATAAGTATGGGCATCTAATGCTTTTGGCCAGGCCACCCCAGCGAGATGTAGCCAAGCCACCTCCAGTGACAAAGTCAGGGGTCGTTACCAAAACTTCCTGACAGGATTCAGTTTTCCAGGTCTCTTCTGCCAGGACAAGGTAGTCATTGAGTCAGCACCAGTTAAGAATTAATTTCCACACCTAGCCTGGAGTCAGGACAATCTCTGTATGTTGGGCAGTTGATTTCTATCATAAGAACATCCGCAAGGGGTCATCGCAGAGTTCATCTAGCCCAGTATTTTGCCCTCAACGGTAGCCATTAATGGCTGGTGATGGAAGAATAACAGCAGGGCAAGTGCAGAGAAGGCTTCCCTGAAGACATCTGCCAGCCTCTAGCCACTGTCAGCCTAGGTCAATTCCTGAGCCACATGGTTCCTCCCTCATCTTCCAAGACACTTGTCCAGCCTCCCTTTGAATCCGTATGAAAACATTCACTGTTCACATGAACGTGCTGATAGAAATGGGGTGCCTGCTGCAATCAGTGGGTGCTGACAAAGCTTCACAGGACTATTCCAGTTTTCTGGGTACACTGTTTGATCAGCACCCACTCCACAAGAGACAGAGTCCCACCTTCAGCTCAAACAAGTGCTTCCTGCCACTTCACATCTGGGAACTGCGGCAGAGACCAAAAACTGGGCCTGGGAGATCTACCAGGAAGATGGAAGTGCCAGGGACATGGGAGCACCAATGGGCTCCAATTGCCCTAGCCAGCCTTGGTGTGCAATTTCTTCTGCAGCCCTCTTTTCCCCCCACCGCAGGGGTTTAGCTGCCTGTGCTCAAGGTCAGCTCTGATACTGCACAGCCCAGATTTGGGCAGGGTCCAACATCTGAACAACCTGATACAGAGCTCAAGAGAAAGCCAGTCTTCAGAACCTGTGGATTACACCACATATCTCCTGCCATGGTGTGTGCTAGGGCCCAGCAAGCAAAAATTCACCTGCTCCTGCAAGACAACTTTCCCAGAGCCTGGAAAGCAAACATAGATCTTCTCAGACACAGCACAGAACAGGAAATTCTGACTGCCAGCAAAGACAGCTAACACCAGGTCTTGCATTTCTACACAGCAGTAACTCAGACCAGTCTTACGTGCATATTTTAACCACCTGAGGCATAAACTGCAGTTTGTCCTGTGCAAAGCTGTGCCAGAAAGCCAGCTGGATCCCATGGGCATGGCATTCTTTGGGGAAATCACAAGACCTGAATTTTAATCCTGACTCAGCTTGCCATATGGCTCTGGGTAAGTCATGTCACCTGCCTATGCTTATAGATTGTCAGCTCCTCCAATTTGATTCTGATGCTTGTGACAGCTGGCACTTTATTTTAAGACTTGGTTCCTGGAGACTGGTAATTACATATGAAACTCAAGCATCAAAATAGTTTCAAAGCCTCAAAGCTGAAGAATGAAAAATTTGAACACAGAACTTGAAGAAACTGCAAATTTTAACAAACAGAAGAACAGACCCAAGGTGCTTTTCCTGGAAGGGGGAGATACTACTTTCAAGGTAGCGTTACAGTGTCATGGTTTACAATTTACTGTCTTGGAAAGCTTCTTGCTGTAGCAGTAAGCAGTGTTAAAGAGGTAAAGAAAAGTCATAGCTAAAATGCTATCAACAGCCAAGCCCTTATCTATGTGACCGTGACCACCATGTGCACATGACAACTTTGGGTTGGTTTCCCGCCTCCCCGCCCCAGCCTGATGACAAGGAGGAAAGGAAAGTGGGGAGCAGAGCCAAATTTTCCACAGCTGGTCCTCAGATGACCCCAGTCACCGCACTGAATACACAGCATTCCTATCAGTCCTGCCTCAATGCAAGACAACAAATCAACAGTTAACAAAGGAAGAAAAACTAAGTGCGACTGGCTAAGTGACTTACCCCGGATTACAGAGCAAGTCCAGCGTTTGGGTCCTGTGGAACTATAAAGAAAAGCAGGTTTTTGCTTTCCTGTACCACTGAATTTTTGGTGACACAGTGGTAGAAGGGAATATTAAAGCAGAATCATTATAGGTACATAGTAGGTGTCCAAGGTATACCACAAACTAAAGTGCTCAGATACTTGCTGAGAAGTTTCCCAAAAGACATCCTCCTGTACCTCTGCCTAAGACAATATTATTAGAAACAACAAAAACACCCCCATACTAAAGCTAAATATTTAAGCCATTCATTTAAACAGATCAGAAGAACACACACCCTCTCCTTTCTACTCCTGGTGCAGAAAACGAGTCTTACAACTTTAAGGGAAGGAATTCACCGGGTGTTTAGGTATGCATTGATCATGCTCTTGAGGCATATGCTGAATGAGACAGGTCTGATCCCATGCACCAGAAGGCACTACACAAAGAGAAGGAGATGAAGGGCTGTGGTAAGTGATCCCTGAAGCAGAAGCCTGTTGCTTCAGCAAATTACAAACACACAGCAGAAGCACACCAGGATGCGGCAGGACAAAGCATTTGTTGCTTGCTCGTGGAATGGGAACATCACTCAGGAGCAGCTGAGTAACAGGTTCATTTTAAAAGAAAAGGGCAATAAAAGCTTCACAGGTCCTTATACCATTTTATATCAAACATATGCCACTTGCTCTGTTTGTTCTACATTCCTTTCTCTCCCAATGTTTTGAAAGCCAATAATTACTAAAAAAGTGCTCCTTGTAGGATACAGTCACATCTACACATCCCAGATTTTATAGTACTGTGAGATTCAGTGATCAAATACACATATTTACAATTATTATCCTAGTTGCATGAAAAAAAGCACATATTCTAAATACATTGACAAAATTACAGCCATATAAATCTGATCAGGTGAAGGTAGAGCAGCGGTCTTGCCAGGGAACGACACTGACCCCTGTGTCAAACTGGCTTCCACACAGCTGAATTTCCAAAAGCTGCTCAAAGGCACCGGGCACCATTTGGTGGAAATTGTTTTAAAAAGCTCTGCCATGGTGCCTGAAAAGGCTGGGAGAAGAGCAGAAAGAAAAGAGTTATTTCTCAGTGTACTTTGCTCAAAATTAATTTTGCTCTATCCCTTCTCTAGCAAATTCATTTCCATTGTTTGGAATTTGTTTGGGTGGTTGTTGGGTTCTCCCTTCCTAAAGGGAACAGCAGGAAAAAAAATACACCGAAAAATTAGAAAAACATAATTGTTTTGCAAGGTTTTTCTTCTTTGAAAAACACCTAAGAGTATCCATACACGCCCTGGGCAGAGAGCCTGAAATCAGGTGTAAGATCTAGAGCTACACTTCACTCCCCCTCTCTTTGAATTGCCTCCACTTGACTGTATCCCTTTAAGGAAACAGGAATGAATCCAGGAACCTTTGTGGTGTTTACTCAGCAGGAGATTAGCCCAGCTTGATAGCCCTGAGCTAACCCATGCTGCAATATCAATGGATGACTTCATCATGGGGTATGCCAATACAATACAGAGGTATATCCCAGAAACACAGCTGTAAGGGGGTCCATCATTCTGAATAGCATCTTAAAAAAGGTGCTCTGCTGCAATTCACAGTTTCCTTCACTGAAATTCAAAGACGAACACTTCTTTATGACTTATCACACCAACTTCTTGATCTTTGCCAAAAAAACTTGCCATGGAGAAACTTGTTTGATGCAGACTCTATGCTCCTATGTGCAACTCGAGATCAGTAACAGTTATCTTTTTTTATTTCAAGAGGTGAACAGATAAACTTCTTAAAACTGCACTCACTGATGCTTCCTGATTCAATAACACAACAGAAAGCACCAACACATGCCAAGAACCATCAATGTAATAAGTCTTCAATGCAGACAGGTATCCACAACATACCAAACCAATATTCTTTCCCCCAGAAATTGCTACAAATCCTCCATCACACCCACACGCTGTTCCCCTGGTATGCCCATCGCAAGCCAGTGACATTTTGCAGCTCTCTCACACTGGCACAGTGTCACAGTATTGGCACTGCAAACACTGCAAGTGCGTGTTTGCACTGGAACCACTCCTACTAATCGTGGTTTTGGCTTTATTGGGTTGTTTTGCTTGGGGAGTGGAGAGAGTAAGCATCAGTTTTTCCTCTAATGATATTTGGGCCAAGAGTTAATTCTCAGCAATTGAAAAACAAAATCCAAACCACATCTTTTCCATAAACAGCTAATGGCCTTGGATCTGTCGCTATAACTAACACACAGCTTATTTTACAGAAAATAAAGAGCACACCTGCAATAAGACATTGCAAATAGCAACAGCTAGTTTAAAAACAATTCATTTTTACAGATTCCTTCACTTTATAAAGGCTTCCAGGTTTCTTGAAACTTTTTTTTTTTTTAAAAGAGACAGAACAGAACATTGCAACATCTCATACAATCCAACATAAGGATTCGTTTTATATGGAATGGAAAAAACAGCAATATTGTACCCTTTGGCTTCAAGAAGAATTCATTGTATTTCCATAGGCTGAAGATCATGCTGCACATCCACAAAGGACATGGTTAGCCAGTAGTAAGTAAATAAGTAAATATCATTCACTTAGTCGAGTAGAAAAGGCTCTGAGTGGTATTGAGTTTCCCACTGATGCCACTGCTGTTAATGTTCTACCACAAATACGCAGTTGTTAGAGGACAGAGGCAATCAGCTCAAGAAAATAATTTACAAAGACAGGATATTTTAGCTGTGAAGTGATAATACAGCCTTTTTATGTTAGCTGAACACAGTATTGTGAAGTTGAAGGTTGATGCTGCTTTGAGTTCAGCAATCAGTAACACCAAGCACATTGACTGCAGAGTAAGTGCTCTGCTCTGCTGGTGATACCTAACGGCAAGGCAGGTAGGCAGAAGGTAAACAAATTTTCCTTGCCAGCCCAGATGTGGGAAAAGGAGGAGAGAAGACAGAGGACTTGGCACTTGACATCAGACATGCTGGATCATTTTTGTTTGAAAGTGAACACTGAGCACTGGGAGCCCAGGCAAAGGAGATCCCTGCTCTCTTCTACTCTTCTTTTCAAAGGGCTGGTGCTGCAGGCAGGAACACCCCATAAGGAAGATAAGCTCCAGGTCTAAGCTGGCATTCAGAGCTCTTCAAATAGTCTTTACAGGAAATTACTAAATCCAGGGCAGCTCCTCAGCTTGTTTAACTGAACAGCTCTGGCAATTTCCTCCTGCAAAGGGAGCACTTATGCAGAGCAGATTGTACCACAGACAACAACCAGAAGTCAGTGTGCTTCTGCTGGGCTCGTGCCACTAGTTATTGAACAGCTAAGATGTCATCCAGGAACAGTCGACACATGATGAGCACCACCTTGACTGCTGCAGCTCAGCAAGGACACGTCAGCAGAAATGCTGCTGTAGAGACTCCTTTCACAACCTGAGAGCAGCAGAGCCACTGGTACAAGGCTCTTCCCCTGCCCTCAGGAATGCAACCACACTTGGTGTTCTGCAGTGAAAATTCACACTGAAAGGAGGCATCCCTCAGTCCCGTGCTGGTGGAAAGCTAGACACACTCCATCAGTGTCCTTGAAGTATTCAAAGGCAAAATTATATTATACAGAAATAGCCATTTGTTGAATGAGTGGATAAAAGGTTCTAATGGATACACAAAGCTTCAAGTGCAAAAACCGTTTTTTGTGGAGTTGCTCACATAACCAATTCCCAAATGGCAGTGATAGTGAAGAATTGTCCCTATTCACTGTCTTCTTTAATAAAAGAATCCAGGAGCCTCAGGTAAAACTCGGTGGTGGCAGTTGCACATCAAACAGGAGGAAGCACTTCTCTATAAACCATTAAAGCTTGGGACTCGCTGACACGGGGTGCTGAGGATGTCACAGGCATCTATGGGCTGCAGAAATGGCTGGTTTTTTTCTTCCCTGAGTTTGTCCGTGAAGGACTATTACACAAAATACCTGGTTTTGTGAAAATTTTCAGAGCCACAAACAGCCAAAAGAGTGTACTAGCAAAGTATCATTATACATTTATGCTGGGAAGATGACCGTATCCGCCATTAGCTGCTGTTGGAGATAGCGCTGGTTCAGCCTGGCCATTCCTCAGCATGAATAGAGGCTGCTTTCTCATCAGGAGGAACCATCCTCAAAGTACACAGAGTCTTCCACCAAAAGGACCACAGCATTTGCTGCATTTTCACTAAGGACGGTCCTATGAACTGCACTTGGTACTCCAACAGCCAAAGGTCAGGCTTCTTTCCACAACTACCACTGCCATCAGACCCATAACTTAGGTGCCAAACTCAACTCAGACCTCCTTTTGAGTCCTCAGATTCTAGCTGTCTATGCAATACCAGAGCAACCAAGAAGCTGAATCTCTCTCTGACAGCCACACACATTGTCTGACCTCAGCAGGAGCCCTCCTGGGCTGCTGTTACCTATGCACACCTGTCCAGTAGAGTCATTGTTTAAGTCAGTCACCCTGTCTAGGCATCCTTTCACTAGTTCTCACTTCTGTTGTAAGAGAGGGAAACAACCGGTGTTAGCTTTGTGGAGGATGATCTCTGTGTCACGTGCCCTTGGGATGCTGAACAAGAAAGGTGTTGACTGCTGCCTCTAGTTGGCTCCCAATCTTGTTCTGTCACTTCTTCATTAAATTTCCCAACAGCCACCTACTGTCCTGAGCTCAAGCTCCTCCTGGCCACCTGCAAGGTTTCCTCAGCTGCTTCAGCACCCTCTTTGTGCAATGGCTAAAAATCCTGCGACAATCCCATCTCACCTGGAGTACCACAGGTGTAAGTTCATAGTAGTGGTGCAAGAGCCTTATTTTTGTTGATCAAGATCCTTGATCTTGAAATCAACCTCATACAAACAAAAATTCATAGTGTTATGTGGTCCTCAAATAGCTCACCACCACAGACATGCACAGATAAAATACCAAACCAGAACATCATACCACCCAATCCCCTTTCAAAGGAGAAACTTCTTTTTGGTAAAGCACGCACTCACACTGCTTACTGAATACATGTGATAGACGGTGATTTCTTCTCCAGCTGAGCCAGCAAGTTCTCTGCAGCACTTGAAACCTCCTTATCCAGAGGACTACAACTGCAGGGGGGATGCATGAAGTGCAACCATCTTTTCCTCATACCAGGAAATTCACCTCCAGTCTATTGAGAACTCGACACAGTGATCTCATCCCCATAACCTTTTCTGGGACCAGGGGGAGAAACTTCACCTCGCTACTCTGAATCTGCAAGATGCACTTAAAGGACAAAAATGATTTGCAAAGATTAACAAGTAGGAAGAGGATTTCTAGGATTTCTAGGCACCACAACTCCCTGGAGAAGCCTCTCCGAGGCTGGTGATGTATTGTTTTTTCCCAGGAGTGATGTGTGGGACCCTCGGATAGTTTGACCTTTCTGCAAATATTATTAAAACAACAAACAGAGCTGAGGCAGCTGGGTGAAGGCAGTTTCCAAGAAGACAGCTAACCAATTCTCCGCCTCACAGAGATGAAAATGACCATATGCACAGGTGCACTTGGTTACGTCTCAGCTAAGGATCCACCCTAACACTGGGTATAAAGGTAAAGATCCACCCCTCCCTATGAGCTAAGGAGGTGCTGGCTGTGCTATGCAAAACACCTTTCCTGAAAAGCCAGTGTAATCTGTGCACTGGAAAAGGATTAAATCCATGTGCTGAGTAAAGAAACCTCTTGGCTGTCAGACCATTGAGGGGGCCACAGGTGAAGTCTTGGATCCAGGGAGTCTCCCTAAAGAAGAGAGGATCAGTCTGAGTGTCCAAGAGTTCCAGGATCTCGTACAAGATATCAGAAATATCCTCTCCCATTCTCATTCAGGGGGGACAATCACAACAAAATACTAAAAGCCTCAGATTTCTACAAGACAGAAAACCAAAGAATGTTCTGAGCAGCCACAAGCCCTGAGCTGCTCCTCCACAAAGCGGGATAACCTGTGCAACTGAAGGGCACATGTTCCCTGCATACCAGGCACAGCTTAGTGCAAGGAGCAATCAAGCAATCAAGGAACAGTATTTGAAGCAAACTTGAAAGCAGATGCAGTCTGAGAGGTGCTTTTGTTCAACTTGTATGACTGTTCTAGGAAAGGTGAAATTACTGGGGGGTAGAAATATTCCCCCCTTTGAAAAAAGCTGTCACTGAGATAGAAGCCCACAGCAGCAACACTGCTGTAGGATTGCAGAAAATGAGGGGGGATAGCTATGCTTATGATTGATATTTTTTTTCACAAAGAATGCAGTAGAAAATCCTTAGGTTTTAATCTAACCAGCTCAAGACATTAATTTCATATGAAAACATTGTAATCCCACATATTCTAAGCATGTACTTTTTCCCCTTTACTTCTGAAAATGTAACCATTGCAGCTATTACTCTAAATCAGCAGTTTCCCAAATCAATGAGTTACTAGAATTAGTTAAGCGACCTGCAAAGCCACATCAGAACTGAAAGCAAGTTTCTTTAGTTCAACATTTGCAAAGATATTGGGTGATCCAAACTGAAGCATTGTCCATCTGTTAATTAAGCACCTCCAGCTCTTGAAAACCAATCAATAAATTTTCCCTCTTCCATCAGGGGAATAACAACCATTTTCTGCTGTGATATACAATGCCACTGCACTCAGCGAGCCTCTGTCCCATTTCTACTCTGCTGCTTTAAAGCAAAAGCAGGAAGTTGGAACAGAAAGTTCCTGGGGAGAAACTCTGCTGAGACACAGCAACTCGCAAACTCGTTCAGACTTCCTTCTACTCAAATAATTCTTTACCCAGAAGAGAGAGACTTTCTATCCTCCCCTCCACCCTGTTACACAACCCCATTTTCTCTCTCAGCAGGTGTCCCCAAATACCTTGAGTGGCAGGACAGTATCACTCCCCTTCCGTGGAACCAGCAGTATATTCCACAGCAAAAAGCTAGCAGAGAACAAACACTGCCAGTGTAAATAGAGTATCAGAGCAGGTCCAAGCTAGGAGGTGTGGTTTGCAATGCTCCCTACGCATCTCATCCCCTTTCCAACATAGGCTAGTAGCCATTGGTTCAGAAAGCATCATGAGAAAACCTGCCATTAAGGTCCCAAGGTAAATTCTTTGTAATCCTGCCTGGTGTACAGCTGTGAAGGAGAAGAGCTTGTTTCCAAGCTGCCTTAGGCAAGAGGGGAAGAAGGGGTAAGAAAGCAGATGATCCCCTGTCTCATGCTGAACTTCTCTGAGAAACTCTAGCTGTGCTTGTAGGTAGCTTGCTGCCTACCTCACATTTGATTTCAACACAGACAGGGCTGGAAACTACCCCTGTGAAAACTGCCTCAAGTTTAATTCCACTTTTACATAGCTGGCAACCTGTTTCACAAAGAGAAGCGCAGAGAGCTTAGGAAAAAAGAAAGGTAAAGCACAAGATGACACTAGAAGGAGCATCTTTCCAAAGCACCATAAAACACACCCCAGTGATGGGGTGCACACCCCAGAACTTTCTTGCTAAAGCAGCCAGAGATGCCATCCTCTACCTTGGCATTGACCAAAGCACCCCTCTATCCCACAGCACCACTGAAAGGAAGCAAAGCCACCCCTGCCCACTGACAGCTGGAGATGCTGATGGGGATTTGTTGCTTAATGGCAGCTCCAGGGCCTCCAGGCAGCATGAAGGTGCCCTCAGCTGTGTCAGCTTCCCACTAGTTAGGCCTGAGGACTTCTTGGAAGCTGACAAAGAAAAGAAAAAAAAGAGCATGTTGAGATCCTGGCAGGGTGGCTCTTCATCACATGGTATGGTTTAGTCCCCTCTGCTCACCCCCGCCCCAAATGTCTCTTCATGTCAGCCCTCAGGGATAGTATTTGCCCAGCAAACAAGCTTTGCCATACAAGTCACGAGCAGGCAAGCCCAGCCTCTACAGAGAGCAAAACCCACTCTTCCACCAATTCCCACTGAGAAAACTCCAGCTGGTATCTGAACAGTGGAGACTTCATCAACCTGCAAACAGAGGAGTTACAAATAGCCCCATCCTCCCAGCAGCAAGTGGTGACGGGACCTGCAGAAAGCAAAGGTAAAGGTGGGTCCTTCCCCATGTAGTTTAAGACGGTTATTTCAAACCCCAAGCTAAAAAATGGACACGAAGACTACTACAAACCATCACACTTGTCTTTAGTACAGGTTTAACGGAGCCAGCGAGCTCCTCCAAGCAGTCTGGGAGGGCTCTGTGCTGCTGGAGGGCAGCTCTGCTCCTCTCAGACCAGGACGATCACTTCTCCACTCCTCACGGGCTCAGCTTTGCCTCAGCCCCAGAACCATGTATCCTTTGAGGCAGGCTCTAGCTGTGTAGCTGAGGCAAATAAACCCAAACAAACCCAGATCAAGTGAGTTACCTGCCTCTGAGCAGGAGAGTTTACTCACCATTTTGCTTACCGTTGCTGCAGAGGTGATGCTCAACACTGAACCATGGTCTCAGCTGGGATGCTGCTAGAACAGCACAAAAAAGGGAACAAACTGCTCTTCTGCACCTCGCAGCTTGTCCTGTCTTTAATCTCCTCCTGGGGTCCTTTATAAAGCTTCTGTTAGTACCGACCAGAACCAAAAAGCTTATCAAACACAAAAAAATAAATAGTATTTTGGAGCGACGTTAATGAATCCTTACCAATTCATGGATAAAGGTCAGGAAATGCAGAAAGTTACGGTTCCCATAGTAATACTAAATCAACCATACTGCACATCCTGTGTATTTAGTGGTACATGTTGAAAAGAAAAAAGCTTCATCCACCAATGCCAAAAAGGTTTCCGACTTAGTGAAGACACTTGAATACCACCCCACACACACAACATTTATTGTTCAGAGAAGTGGATTTTCAGATCGAATTGGGTGAAGCCAATCTAAGCATCATTACAGCTCCCCATATCTAAGGCAATAGCAAGAGCTCTCAAGCATGATTACAGACTGAGCATTATTTGCCCAACCTGAATAGAGGAAAGGGACTCAGGCATCAGAACAGGTTGAGTCACCAAATCACAGTCAGCACCAATTCTGCACTTGGATGCAGCAGGGAGATGGTAAGGAGAGAGGGGGAGAGAATAACTGACCACCAACCCCCCCACACCATAACTAGTAACTGTTAATCCATTTCTATAAACACTCATTTCTTTGATACTGATAGCCTGAAATATCCCCCAGCCTAGTATCCCACCTCACAAGTCCGGAAACAGGTTGTGAATGAACTACAGCCATGCTAACCTCTCTCCAACACAAGTCTGCATACTGCTCTGCTCTCCAAGCTCCTGAGGTCTTATCTTTGTGCTTTACATAAAGCCCACACCACTCTTCCCAGAGAGAACAGCTACAAGTGGTCCATTTGCATTTAGCAGCTTCGACTGAGCAGCCAGATTTGCATGGGAAGCAAAAGACTCTTTTTGTGCCATAGGAAACGCATTACATCAAAAGGGTTTGTGCATTTGTATTGGAGCAAAGGATTACTCCTCTGGCTACATGTCTGAGGGGGAGGAAAGGTAGAGCAGAGATCTTGCAAACTCCTTTAAGAGGCAAAGAGGGTAAGGGGGAGGGAAGGCAGCTCTCAAGCACAGGAGCAAAGTGTGCAATGGAAGAAATGTGTACATTTGTGGGGACATCCACATATGTCCTTTTTTCCCCTCCAATAAATCTGAATTCTTTTCTTAGTTCCCACGATCTCAGACAGAAGGGCACAGTTCAGGACAACAAACACCTTTGAACTTCAAAAACCTGACAGGTGAAGAGAGAGGCTCTGGCAACACTGCTGCTGAAGAGGTCCTCAGCCCTGCTAGACACGAGGGCACCCGCACAGCCCTGCTCAGAGGACACCGAGGTGATGGAGCTGCTCATGGAGTGACATCAACCCCAGAGTCCGCAGCAGGACACAGGCACAGGAACACACAGCAGAAGTCCTTCTGCCCACAGGGTTACTGGGTGGCCGTTGCTTCACTCACACCCCTCAAGCCCTTGCTGTCACCGTCCCTTGGGGGGCACCCACCTTCCCTTTTGGGCTCCAGCACCAAGTCTCCATGTTTTAAAGAGGCTTTGCAACCCTCCCCACAGCTGCAATGCCTGGCTATTCCTTGGAGCTGCACAAATCCCAGGCAGCATCTAGCCACACCTGCCAAGGGTAACAAGGATTTGGTCACACTTTATCTTATCTAAGCGATGATGACGCTCCTCTTCCTTCTTGGGCAAAGCTCAGCAGCTCTGCATTTGCTGAGGAGGGGAGCTGGGCAGAGGCCAGGAGCTTCAGCCTGCAGCAATTCACACCAGAGTGGGATGGCTCTGCTAGCCTGCCTGTCCCACCCCACAAACAAATGGGCATTTAGTCCACAAGCAAGAGTTATGGGGAAAATAGGGCTTAGCAATATTTACACATCTCATCTCACCTTCACCTCAGGTGCTAGCACAGGCATACAGCTCACCTTCCCTAGATGCAGTACAGCCACGCTAGTCCTTGCCAATAAATAAGCCAGTCAATTTTATTTTACAGGGAGTCAGACCATTTGTCTGGAGAGATGACTTCAACATCCATCATGCTGTCAACCTACAGGTCACCTACAGCTTAAATTCCCAGCTGGAAATGAGCTTGGTTTCATCTTCTTCATTTTACAGAGGGGAAACTGAGGCAGATAGAAGCATTGCTCTTACTCAGAGATGCTTTGCTGAATGAGATGGAGAGGTATTCAGCTACTGTAACAGTGAGGGCCACCAAGTTTTGCTGTAGTATGCGTTAGATGTGCCTCCCCACACCTGTACCTCTCCCAAGCTCCTGCTGCACCCAGCCAAGGGCTTACAGCTAGCCTGCAAGCCTGCAATCTGCTTCTAACCCTCATTTTCTAAAGGTTGGACTTGCCTAGCTATGCCCAGACAGCTGGATTTTTCCCAAAAGGTTTGTTTTCCATAGCCTAAATGGCATATTTAGACATTCCACAGTTCTATTTTTAACACCACACAGCTACCAGTCCTACTCCTCCAAAGGACTGCAGATATCCTGCTTGTTATTCTTTTGAAGAGCTTGAGATGGGAAGCAATAAACAGCTAGGGTAGTACCTATCAGTAGTACCTTGATTGCACAGTTACAACAATTGGACTCTACATTCAAGCTTTCGCTGCATTACTTTAGCCTTCATCCAGCACACGTGCTAAAGGCTAATTCTTTCAAAAAGATGCAGAAGAGGTCTTAAGAGCTCTCCCCTTATTCATACTCTCATCTCCTCTTCAGAAATGTAGGTTGCCTCAGCCCATGATACATCATCTGGTGTGAACAGTTACATCTTTGCATCTGCCAGGATCTTACCAGCATCACAAGCTCGGGCCAGCCCCATGCCCAGACAGTGCTGGACCACAACAGCAGATGTCAGGAGGTTCAGGGCTCCCAGTCACATTTTTAGAGGTGTTCTGCCATCCTCAAACCTTTCCTGCGGGGCTTTCAGGTGTATGTAATCCTCAAACATCCTTCTGAAACACACAATCTCTTCCACATAGATGAGGCCATTAACTGATGCAGAAAAGTGATACAAAGTCTTGTACCAGCACAGAGATTAAAACTGCAGAAGCAGGGACAACAGCTGCTCCTCCTTCAGATGACATCTCTGCTAAATTAACTGCAATCACACACTTCACTAGATAGAGAGCAGGGATGTTACAAGCCTCTTTGCTCTCAGTCTTATTACTTGACAAATTTTCCTCCAGATGAGGAAAATCTTTTTCTACAGATGAGAGCACTGTACCCTCCCAGAGCATTGTAGCATACCCCACTTCGTCCAAAACAAACCAACAATTAAAGTCACAGTCTCTAAGAGCACAAGACAGTATTTTTCCTGCTTTAGTGCTCTGTGACACACAGTTAAGAGAGACACACTTGGTTAAAAAGTCCACAGCGCTTCCCAATCATGTTACCCTAACCCCAACCCAA